ATTGAACATTGGCAAAGGTAAAGCACACCACATAGTAAAGATGACATGGGGCTAACAATATCAACGAGACCAATGAAGTGAATAACCAAACGTTCAGCATATTACAGCCTTTAAATTCTCGTGGTATTCCGTCCGACTAACAAAGGAGCATCTCCTATTGCAATGGCTGTACCTAAGATACGCTGATCAACTACGATAAGCTGAGGTTTTAAAACGACCCGCTGACAAATAGTCGCTGCACAAATCGTGAAACCAACCCGAAATATAAAATCCCAAATTAATCGGAAAGCACGCGAAAACCTAAAATCTAACCTCATTTTAATGTTATTTGTTAAACATACTTTAGTGGTTCTGAATTGAATTGAAACTCGCGTGAATATGTGCAATTCAATATTGTGGTAGTCATTTTTAAAATAAAGTGCAGTGCGCATGTTGGACATCTATAGTTAGATACGGTGTGTATGTACTGCGTATTTCTAGCACTGCTTGAAGCGTGACCAGCTACAGTATTTATTTATAAATAGTATTTTATGGTGAATACAGCCAACACCTACAAGTTCATACTCGATATATATTTAAAATATCCCACACGAATGACACTACATTGTAAATAAATACATCTTGTTGTAACATAGCCATTAGCCAACGTTTGTTCAGTTGTTGGCTATGGTTATAAGTATTTATGTAAACGTTTGTTCAGTTGTTGGCTATGGTTATAAGTATTTATGTAAACGTTTGTTCAGTTGTTGGCTATGGTTATAAGTATTTATGTAAACGTTTGTTCAGTTGTTGGCTATGGTTATAAGTATTTATGTAAACGTTTGTTCAGTTGTTGGCTATGGTTATAAGTATTTATGTAAACGTTTGTTCAGTTGTTGGCTATGGTTATAAGTATTTATGTAAACGTTTGTTCAGTTGTTGGCTATGGTTATAAGTATTTATGTAAACGTTTGTTCAGTTGTTGGCTATGGTTATAAGTTTTTATGTAAACGTTTGTTCAGTTGTTGGCTATGGTTATAAGTTTTTATGTATGTATGTATTTTTTAGATGAAAATTAACTGTGTAAAAGAAATGATGATATGGATGGTGACATCGATGACTCATCTCTGATGACTCATCGGGTATTTTAACTTATTATCAAATCACATCAAATCAGAAATGAGATTTTAAAATCAACAACAAATACAGATTGGTTTTGTTGTCGCACATATGTAATCGATTGATGTATTTTATGTAGCACTACTATAGACTACAAAGGCCTGCACCATTTCACACACCTCAACAGTACAACGCCTGACCAACATACGCACATCAAATAAACGTGTTGCCGCATAGAGAGACACAGACCCTTTACGAGGTTATATACAGTACACAGCCCAAACAACCAATATGAATTTGCCAACCTTTTCCATTCCGACCAACATCGGCGGGTTCGACCTGGATGTCTTTGCACTGACGACTACTGTGGGTAAGAAGGTATGTGCAGTTATATATGGGTATGATATGAAGGCGTCTGTATTTACCACTACTGAAGATTACAAAACCACAATGAGTTATACCACATGCACAGCGAAAAAAATGGATATGGCAGCAAAGAAAGTGAAGCTATTTCAAGCAGCATGTTTATGAGTTTCCGAACGTAAAGGTACATATACAAACTATCGCCCGTGTTATATACATATATATATATATATATATATATATATATATATATATATATATATATATATATATATATATATATATATATATATATATATATATATATATTATATATATATATATATATATAT